CACAGCCTTTAAAATAGTCACAGATGTCATTTTATCCTTCAATGTTCAGTCTTTCCCACATCACTGAAATGAAAAATGCAATCTTTTTAGTGTACTGATTTCCAGTAATTTCCCAAGGCACTTCTTTTTTCTGTGATAACATGGGAGAACAAATGAAAATGGAGGAAGGAAGGAAATAAAGGGGGGGGGAGGGGAATGAAACCAAAAATGGTCAATACAATGTTTTGCATACCCTTGGAGTAAATGAAAAATCCTTGGGATTCTTCAAACATTTGAGTTAAGCACCTAAGAGCCCAGCTGAATTGGGCCTTTAGAGTGTAGTTATCACAGGCTGCTGCCTCGTCCTGTCAATCTCAATGATTGTAAAACTGACAATCCACTGTACAGGACAGTGCTTCTTCTGCTGAACTTGATTAATAGCTCCAGACAAAATGGATGGAGTAGGCACATCCATCTTCTTATGTAGACGGTGATATTTAGACCAAGAGTAAGAGGTCAGCCCAGCAGAATTTCTACACTGCACATTATGCTCTCTCACAATAGATTTCACTGTTTTCCAAGATCTGTACCTCAATTTCTCAGCTTTTCTTCAGCACCTTTTTTTGTAAACATACCGTGGAAAACTTGAACCAGTTAAATTATTCATAAGTAGTCATTTTTGAGTGTAAAGCCAATAGATCCAGGTCAACAGCAAGTAGGACTGAACCTATGACCTTAGGGGCTAAAGCCATGAGCCAAAAAAACATGAGCTAAAACACAATTTATTCTCAACGAATGCTGTAAAGCAGACTTCATTCTGCCTTATCAGTGACCTCAGTGCCTCTGGGTTACATATGTACGATGAAAGGCTGTTTTCTAATGCAGACTCTCACACGGGCTGAATTAAGGTTGCATAATAATGTTTATTCTGACATATTGCAGTTTGAGAGCACTGGATTCTGCAACCTTTTAATCTGTTTTAATCCTTCATTTTGTATTCCCTGCTATTGAGTGATTTAATTTGTTGGTGCGCGGAACCTTAAGTAACAGTAAACAACTTTTTGCATGTATGTGTATGTGTAATTTAGTTAGATTTTACTTGGAAAATAAAACTCAAAACAGCACAAGACCTCAAGAGAGCATGGGGCTGTCCCAACTCTGCCACAGAATGACTCTGTGACCTTGTGCTCATCACTTAGTCTTCCTGTGCCTCCAGTGTCCAATTTGTCAAGCGTGGATACTTTTATTTCCTCTCCCACACCCGTTGTCTCAGACTGCTGTGTAGACTGTAAACTATTTGGGGGAAGGGCTATCTAATCTCAGTCACAGCCTCCAAGCACTGCCATTATAATAAATAAATAGATAATGCAGGAGAATGTGACCCTGACTTCTCTGCAAAGCATGCATGTCCTTGATCAAGCGTGTCTCATGAGGTCAGTGTGCCTCAGAAAACAAACCTAGCAGCTAGTCACTCAACATGCTTTTACTCTACCACATGACCATCAGCAATTATTTTTTATCATATTGGCACTAACAAACTCTGAAAATAATCTCCTTATGTCACAAAGTAAAAGCCTCACTTTACCCGACACTGATCTGATTACTGCATAAATACAGCTAATCAATGTAATTACACATTTCAAAGTGCGTGCTGCGGCTCCACAGATCAGCACAGATAATATTTCCTTATGTGCCAGCTGCATTTTACACTTGCTAAGTCACCGTTTTTTCGCCTATACAGTTATTTCCAGCTTTAAAACATTGTATTTAAATTCAAAAGATTTCAGAAGGAAAGCGCTCATTTTCACTTTACTATGCAAAATAAAACATGATCATTTACTCATTCACTAAGAGCAAGATTATTTTTTGTGATTATAAGACAACTGATGACCTTACTTGAAGGAATGCTGATCCGATTTTTTTTTAAATGCCATAGTCACTAATTTGGCCATAATCTGACCACTCAACATTGGAGTCCCTTCCACTGAAATCCTATTAAAGCTACAAAAATTAGAACATTCAGAGTGCACCTACACTGCACCCGTAAGTCAAAATAAGGTATGCAATTTCAGCTACGCAAATTGTGTATCTTATTTCAATCTAATTTCAAAATATCTTATTTCGAAACATCCCTTAACCCTCGTGGAATAAGCGTTACAGGGACACCATAAAATCTATTATTTTGAAATAACAGGCATGCTATTTCGAAATAACAGGTGTATGAAAAGACACAGAATAGCTATTTTGGGATACTTCCGGTATCCCGAAATAGCGCCGCTGTCTAGACATAGCCTCATAGTAATACACTTTCTCCTCTGAAACCCCGCAGCAAACTAATTTTCCAGCTAAAACTTTCCTTCCAGAAACATTGTTTTGGAGCTATGGATTTAACCTCATAGATAATCCCGTTAATACTTGGAGTATCAGGACATTCTCTTGCATGTAGGTTCACCATCTCTGGGCAGAAAAGCACTTTGATATTTCTGGCTGAGTATCCTGCCCTCAACAAATGCATTTGATGCTCATACAGAGCCTCCTGGCTACTTACTTCCAAAGCCATCTGTCAGGATGGCACACAGCCTGTTTCCTATTGGGTGTGCCAGTTTTACTAGGGCAGAGTTGCCAAACATAGGTGGTTTTAAATATGCAGCCTGCATAATTCATTAATTACTGTCTCATCGTTAAGAAGTTCCTCCTCCAGGACAGCACTGTGCATAGGGACTTACCTGCAGGAGCAGACCTGTGGTCCAGCTAAGCTCTATATCTGATTCCTGGCAGTGGCCACAGGGTTCAAAGGAAGGTACAAGTTCAACTGCATTAAACCCATGGGTGGATACTCTCATTCAGAATTAAAGTGGTTTTAATTTGGTTTAGTTCAATTCACAGATAAAACATTAAGGACGCTTGAATTCTGAATGAGTGTGCTTATCAAGGGTTGGAATGCAATTTAACTCATCCATTTAAAATCCACAGCTGCAGTTAATTCAGATTAACTTTCCCAAGTGACTCTGTGTAGACAAACCCTAGTGCAGTTGTCTATATAACAATATATATGGATGTTTTGATTATCCATCTCAATAGCTAATCCATGGGTGGGCAAATTCCAGCCCATGTGCCAAATCCGGTCCACAGTGTTAGCCCCTGGCAGGCCCCCACTTCTATATTTACCTGCACCTCCACAGGTGTCAGGGGATCGAGCTGTGGGAAGTGGTGTCCCGGAACTGCTTCCTGCCACTCCAATTGGCCGTGAGTGGTGATTCACACGCAAGGAAAGATACAATCTCCTGATACCTGTGGAGATGCAGGTAGATATAGTGTCAGCCATCCAGCAGAGACTAACTCTAGCAAGCTGCTAATTTTTTTTTTTTTATTGTCTAATCCTTCTACAGATTTGTTAGTTGTTTTAAAACCACCACAAAAAAATCTATTCCCTTCTCAGTTTTCATTTTCTGGGTGTCCTGTGACTCCGCCTCCCGCCCATCGATGCCCTATATGCAAAGCCAAATTTCTTTTAAAACTAGTAGTACATTACAAAAAAGAATTCGACTGCATGCACAGGCCTTCCAGAATGAAGGGCATCTGCTAATAGGAGCGGCAAGCAACATTAGAGTATTTTCGCTGCACAGCCTTTTAATTCTCCAAACAAGGACAATCTGACTGTCTCAATACCACCAGAAGTAAACTGGTGCTAAAATTAGTCCTGTGGCAAATACATGGCACTGGTCCATTCACAAAATGGTGCAGAGTCAGATTTGGAACTTGCTCTGTGGTGGTGAGAGCTAGCCAACCTCCCATCAACAGGAATGGCTGTTTTGGTTGTGCTCAGGAGAGACGAGATATTGCATATATATTGGGTTCCATAACAGTACAGTATTGAACAAAGGCACAGAAGTGCCAAATTTCAAATGATGTTGGTTTCAAAATATATCTTCTCCAATCCTGAATCCAGGTTTCTGCCCTTCTGAGACAAGTAGCATTGCCTTTTTCTTGCTATGCTCATCCCCAGAATCTATTTTTTAACCATACTTCCCCGCATTTTCTTCTATCCTATTCTCACTATACCCTCTCTTTTCCTGTCTGCTTACCTATCTAATTAGGTACCCCTACTGTCAGGAATCTTAGTTTCACATGCCCAGTATTGATGTTGATGGATAGAGCCGGGCATGGATACAAAATTCTGTACCCGCATTTATAGCTGCAAAAATGAGCAGCAGATATCTGCATCCACGGATGCAGATACCAATGGATAGAATGCGGATATCCACAGATTTGCAGGAATCTATTGATGGAGCTATACCAATTATGGGCAAGATCCTTAGAGCAGTGTTTCCCAACCGGGGTTCCGCGGACCATCATCAGGGGTTCCGCGAGAAATCGTGGAATAAATAACGCTGGGTGGGGCCTGGAGCATCTGTCACACCCTTCACCTCCTGCCCTGGTGCTTGGCTGACTTCTGCACCGCTCAGCCGGGCTGCCGTGAGGGAGCAAGCAGCCATTTGGGCTCCGCAAATGAGAGGAAAGAGGGGGAAGAGAAGAGAAAGAGAAGAGTGAGAGGCAGGAGGGAGGGGAGAAGAGAAAGAGAGAGTGAGGCAGGAGAGGGAGGGTATTTGATATTTGAAAAAAAAAGATTAGATAATACAAAAAAAAGACAGGAAAAATGCTCCAATTTTTTTTCTTACAATGTAAGCTGACATTATATATATATAATAACAGCTCTTTACAAATACATTTTCTTGAAAAAATTTAGCAGTAATTGATTTGCGCTCCCTGCTGTCAACTTTTTCTGGCCAAGCAAACGTTTTCATCCGTAGGGGTTCCTCGGAATATGAAAAATTATTTTAGGGGTTCCTCCATGGGAAAAAGTTTAGGAATCACTGCCTTAGAGGCTGCCAATGAAGAAATGCAGATTTTCATAGGATTGGAAGGAATGCCTTGATTCACCTGCCCTCTGCTATCCCATACAACCAGCAGCTGATCTTCTGTATTGGAGAGGAGTGGGGATATATATTATGTATGATCACAGCAGCTAAATCCTGGACACAGATGATCAAGTAAAATACACATAGTTTGTTAGTCCCTGGATTATATTTAGGCTCTATCATCAACCCCCACATGTGGAATTCAGATTGTGTTTGTTTGTTCGTATGTTTCATGAGCTCATGCAGTAATGCCTCTCATTCACAGATGCATTTTTTATTCCTCACTCCATCTTTTCAAACATTCACTACTCTGCTCAGATGTTTCACCGGAAACAGACCCTCTCCAATTATCTTGATCATTAAGATTATTAAATGAAGATACTAAATAGTATTAGTCTAAAAACAGATCTATAGTAGGGTTTCATACTGCTGTCCATCACTGTAATAGCTCACCACTTCCCATGTGACCCCTGCTAGAGCCTAACAGTACCTTTTCCTCCATCCACTACTTTGTCATTTCATTACAAAAATAAAATCAATCAGAGTGATACGTTGACTTCAAGGAATATCTTACCAAGACCTTGCTGAAAATCAAGACAAGAAACAATCCCTTTCACAAATCAGCTGGTTCTACAAAGGAAGCCAGTGCAAAGACACTAGGAAATTCTGGGCTTGCCTTGTGCTGTTCTGTAGAAGAGTTTTGCTCCCCTGTATTAATCCACTTTTTGCACACAGGAACCATCCAAGTCTCTCAGCTGGATGAAACTGTGTGTATAGCATCAGGTACCATGGAACCACTGGTCCTGTCCAACCCGTCACCTGATGTCAGGTGACACAGCACCTTGCACAATCTGCTCCTTAAGGTGAAGACATGCTAAAACACCAGCTCCAGTCCCATTTGGACAACTTTGCTAGGAGCATCACCTCTAGGCTGTATACTGTGTGGGAACAACATGCTTCTCTTGTGACAGATTCAACCGTCTAACCCCTGGGTTGTGATCTTCTACATCAAGCTTTGGGTAAAGCCCAGATGCATCACATATAGCACTCAGATATGCTGCTAAGGACTACTGGGGTCTCCATGACTCCCCACTTTTCCCATGTCCACCTAGAGGACCGAGGTCTCACACTTGAAGGTGCCACCCATGAGCAACAGCTGCCTGGTTTGCTCATGGGCTTGTATGAAGTCTCTCCCTCGTTTACAGAAGGGTTAAAGCATTTGGACTATCATGCTTGATCTGACTGTAGATGCGATCTCTCTCTCTCTCTCTCTCTCTCTGTTACAGGCATTTAGAAAAAAAGTAATATTTATTGCACTATATTAGCAACAAAAAAAGTAGAGTTACCAGTTTGCAATTACCAGGAACATCCCTTCCTTTTTGAAAATTAAATAGGACATCCGATTATAGAAATTCAGAGAAACGCTTAATCACATGCTTAAAATCTTTCCCTTTCACGACAGCATTTCAGCTACTGTTAAATATAAGCTCATACTGAAGCGTTCCCTTGAACGTGGATATTTTTCTTGAGCTGGTTCCTTAGGGCACATCTACACAGCAGGGCTAAACTTGAAATAAGTGATGCCACTTGAGCTACACTACTTGCACAGCTTAAGTTGAAAGAGGTTATTTCAGTGTTTGGCACTGTCTACACAGCAGTTATTTTGAGAGAGCAGTTATTTTGAGATAGACCCTAACTCTTCCCCCAGCTTCCCTGACTCCTCGTACAATGAGGGTTACAGGAGTTGGAGCAAGAAGCCCATTATTTTGAATTTATTTTGAAATAGCAGGTGTGCTGTGTAGACACACGACATTATTTTGGAATACCTGATGATATTCCATAATAACGCTGCTAGGTAGACATAGCCACTAGCCCCTCACCCAGCCCTGGACATCCCATACGAAGCCTGCCAACTGAACCTCTTTAAATTGCTGCCAGAGCCAGGCTGTTCTGGATGGTGCTGAGGAGGGCATGGTCCTGGTGGTTCTATGGGCCTATTGCCTCTTCTGCCCGAAGGCCCCGCCTCTTCCAGAAGCATGGAGCTGGGTCTCCTCCGACCTTACTCATGAACCCGACAACTCTGTTGGTTCACCTGTTCCGTTCCCATCCTGTTATTAACACAATTCACATTTTTAGTCTTTTCTCTAAGGAAGTTCATAAGACAAAGTCCAGTGATAACAATGATTGGATAGCACAAGATAAAGCATCTGCTGTTCCCATGCAATACCTTTCAGAACCACAGTTTCATTTAGACATCTCACTCTCTCCTATTCGGGACTTGAAATCTTTCACCTAATTCTATCAAACCCCACTGGATACATTTGGTCTTGGAAATACCAATTCAATCATCATAAAAGCATTAAGGTACTAGCAGAACTAGCGTTCGAACCATCTTGAAATACTGCATGAAGTAACCGCACATTAGTTAGGCAAATATCAGTTGAAAAAGACGATTGAAATTACCCTCTTAGCAATTAAAAAAAACATGCTTTTATACGTTCTAACTGGCAATCGTACAGGCTCCTAATGTGTTTAAAGCGATTTCATTCAACTGAACTTCCCAGAATTCTTAGCTACTTCAGTTCGGCCCAGCAGCTGCTACAGCAGGAAGAAATCTGTGGGCTGTAATTGCTGCATAGTTTATTAAGAGCAATTCATGCACCTGGAGCTATCACCTGACTACCTTAACCATGACCAGCTTGTATGAAGTACTAATACAGCAAACTGGTAGGCCTAAATATTGTAGGCAAATGGTCTCTACAGCTTTAGTTCACAGCAGGTGACAACTATTTGACTAAACCTTCTCCCACACAAAGGAATCTAAAATTGATTCTGAGAAAAATATTAATAGTTTTTTCAAGACACTTGTCTTACGTTAGCTCTAACACACATTCTGTGTTCAAGAGAAACACTGGGAATCAGATGGGCTCTAACTACAAAACACATACCCATATCTGAACTTCAGAGAAGTTTTGGGACTGTCTGAGCATATCCGGATCTCCATTTGAACTATTTTTCAGGTAAAAGCCCGCTGTGAAATTTGGCTATAGAATCCAACTGTTGAGGTTTGTTAGGACACAGAAAATTAGGTCACATTCTTTTCTAGTTATGGATACCTCCCATGCTAACTTTGGGTCATTTTAGTATTCTCAGTTCACTTCAAAAAATCATTTCTTCAAACCTTATAATGAGAGAAGTTGGGAAAGAAGTTGGTTGGTTCTTTCCTGAAGAAGTCGGTTCTTCAGGCCTCTGCTCTTATGATTGTATGGTTTTGGCATATGCCATGTACTTTTAAAACTGTGTAGACAATAATTTTTTTGGTTTACCAGCAATTCCAAAAAAAATGGAGAAAAGGGGTTTCTTGTGATAGAC